ACACTTGTGGATATAATTTAGGGACCAGATGAGTTATCAGGCACCATGAAACAAGCAGTGGAAATTAAATATGACATTAGAAGAAACCCTTAATATACCTGATCTCAAAAACACAGGGCAAAATTATCAAATTAACATATGAGATTGAAAAGGCCCCCCTCCCCAACATTTGTGAAAACACAGAGCAAAATTGAGCAAAATTGATCAAACYCAAATCTGAGTTTTCTCCARGTGACCCCATKGCAGASGATTYGGAACCAGRTCAMCTTTAAGGCCTCTTCCAACCCAAACCATTCCATATTTCCAGCTTTTTCTTTCTTTTTACATGGAAACTCCTGTTTCCAGCCACTTAAGATTTCTGTCAAACGCATTTCCGACCTCACTTGCCTCCCCAGCCCACGTGTTCCTTGCAGACTACACATATTTAAGATAATTAGAAGATATTATTAATGGAAAGATGCCTCAAGGGRGTGTTCTCCTTCCATTAAATGCCAAGATGACGTTTTTTGGAGCGTGACACTTACGTCCACGGACATTCTTCTGGTTTCATGACTTTTTTTTAAATTTTTTTTTTTTTTTGTGCTATGCCAGGCCATTAACGATGCAGAATTTGCCCTGCTACAGCAAGTGGCAGTGACTCTTTGTGCCAGTGGAAAACCTGATCCCAGGGGAGGCTCGATGGCCTCTCAAAGACTCTCATTAAGGAGTTTTGTGTTTCCCTCCTTGAGCAGCCCTTGTGAATCACAGCAGAGCTGAAAAGGGAAGGTAAAAATCACCTAAAAAAGCACAGGGCTGACTCAATTAGCCCATTCCTGGCTTTTAATTAATGAACTTCTGATTAATGGAACATCAGACTGCAGCCATTAACTCAAAATGGTGTTAACAACCTCCCCTGATCATGTTTGGTGTAAGTCTTGGGGAAAAAAATTCCAGGGCAGGCAGTGCAGGCTGCTCCTGTGTGGTTCCTTGGTTTGAGTTTTCAATRTTTGTTTTTGGGGCTGTTGATCATGTTTGAGACACCCACCCCGCTGTCCTGATCTAAGGAAAACGAAAAAACACATTTTCAAAACTGAGAGATTGAGCAGGGCACAGGAATTGTCTGTTCTGCTCTGTGTGAGGTTTSATTTACTGCMCAGTGGTGAAAATCAGTCARGGAGCCTGACTTTGCGTTGTGTTTYAATAWTTCTTTGCTCCAAAAGCCACTGTGGCACTTATTTTGAAAATGTGGGGTCAGAACTGTGGGTTCATCACCTTGTTTGGGGTGATTGCAGTGGGAGATGTGTTGATGGTGACATTTAAAAAAAAAACCTGAGGAAGTAGAAGCCTGTGAGGTGGTCACATGTAATAATTCCCATCATGAAATATGATGGGATATACAATTTTATGTATTTCCCTGCTTAAAACCTTGTCATTGGATGGGATTATTTTTTAGASTTGTGAGAACTGACAGCACCTGAAWACCTACCAYTGAAYAAACAATCCTCTTAATTGTCAAATAAACATTTTTCCTTTCCCCAAAACAGTGACAATGTAAGCTGTGAGTGCATCTCACAGTCTGAGGAAGGTRGAGATAAATGGCAGGTAAAAAATAAAATATGTATGATCTTTTTTTTTCAGCTCTCAGAAACTCAGAAATTATACATATTTTCCATCTATGCTTGTCATAGACAAAATATTCAGGGACAAAACAAAGAAGGGGGTTTACAGAACACATCATATGTAATAAAAAACTTTTGGAAAACTTTGAAACTTTGAAAGTCTGACTGCAGGACACACCTTCTCCTGGCACAATATTTGCACAGAAATTTCTTCACTCTCACTCCAAACTAAGGGTTAAGTTGTGGCTGAAAGGTTCAAAAAGTCTCTGCAAACAGATGTGAGTGGCAAATTATAAACAAAACCTCTGCTGATTTTTATCAGATCTAATAGGCACTCAAAACACGCAGATAACCTCCCCTAAAAATCTAATTAAAAAAAACCAAACAAACGGCTAGCTGGTTTTCTTTTTTTTTTTTTTTTTTTTTTTTTTTTTTTTTTTTTTTGATGGCAAACCCGAATAAAACTGACCACTCGGAGTCAAATTGCACCTGAATGAGTTACAGATGCTGCGAGCCGAAGAAAATTCTGCCAAAAAGATTCGGGAATATCCACCAGGTGGCATCCAGCGACCGCGTTTGGGCCGCCTTATCGCCACAAAACCTCTCATTCATAGGGCAGATAAAGAGCTGCATTATTAATTTATACCACTGCATCCCCTCCACACCTAATATTTGTTTAGCCAGCTGTTTCCTCTAATCCTCCTTAAACACCGCTGATTGAAATCCTAAGTATATTCAGGCTTTTTATTTTTTTTCTCCAATTTTTTTTTTTTTTTTTTTTTTTTTTTTTTTTTTTTTTTTACCCCAAAGAACATTTTGTTACCTACAAGTTACAAGCTCCCTTTTCAATCGCAGGACTGTGTGCTACAGTTCCTAGCAGCGGAGACGGAATGTCTAATACTTCCTCACAAGCAACAGAAGCAGCCTGTCATATGAAAATAACTTTTTTTTTTCCACCCCTCCCTCCCTCCCCACAAAATTTTTCATTTTCATAGAGCTTAAGCAAGGAAACACGCTGTCAGGTTTACAATGAGACAGAAACGCAAGATATTTCGACTTCCAGGAACAGTTTAGGTGCTGCTTCAGTGAAAAAGCAAATGAAAGGCAGAAAACGTTAATTCCAGTTTTCACACTTTAATCCTTGCAGTGAATTGGAAAAGTTTTAATGTATTTAAATGTAAGCAACTGCAAAGGCTCTCTTCACTTGAGGATCTTAAAACACTTTTTAAAGGATGGAAAATCATTGATTCCAGATTTTTTACTGAGGGGCAGGGAGGTTAAGTGACTTTACTAAGTATTGATGACAGTTCTTTTGGGTCCAGGCTGTGACCAGTAGTGGTCAAAAATCTTATTTTTACTCACACATCAGCATAAAATCACAAATCTTGGGGACCTGCAGTAGAAAATAGTCATCTTAACCAATTTTACAAACTGTAAAATAAAGGTGCTCTCCATCACACAACAGAAACCCTCCATCCTTTCCTGAAAACTCTTCTCCCCCTGCCCCAAGACTCTGTACTTATTTAGGGTTCTGTTTTGGGTTTTTTTGGTGTTTTTCCTACTCTCTGCTGGTTGYTCTCTGTCTCTGGGAGGAATTTGAACCCGCTGGGTTTGCAGTGAGAGGATGCTCTGCTGTGAACTGTGCCTGGAGAGGACATGGCTGAGGACAAAATTTATTCAAAATGGGCTTTTTTTTTCCTCTTTCTTAGTGCAATCTGCCCATACATTAAATAATCTTCCCAGGAAGACAGGCTATTTAGGCTTGAAATTTAGAATTTCAGTGAAGACCAGAAGTGCCTTCATTATTACATTGAATTTTTGGGGGGTTTAACTTGTAAAAACTGCTCTCTACACCTTTCCCCCCTACTGCACTTTAACTGTAGGACTTAAAAGCATCACAAATTGGTGGGGTTTTTTTGTTTTCTTTTTTTNTTTTTTTATCCTTTTTTTTTTCCTCCCTGCACACAGCAGGGTGTGCAGGAGTTGGGGTCCCAAATAAATTCACTCAGCACAACTTTGCTCAGCTGGGCTTGACAAGAGCTCTTCTCAGCCACAAAAACCCCAAGGAAACAGAGCTGTCTGTGTGTGGCTTTGCAGACCCCTGGCTCCTTCCTCACTGCTTCTGCCCTTGGTGACACATTTCCCCCAAAATTTATCAGAAAAAAAACCAAAAAACCCACCTGCCTCTGGAGTCTGTGTTTATGGAGAGGGTCTGTATCCATAGCTACACAGCCTCACTTCATCTGTGATTTCAGCTATCACATCACACATAAACCTAACAGAACAACACACATAATCCTAACAGAACAACCCTTTCCAGGTTTCTTTTTTTTCCCCATTTAGGCACTGAAACAGTTTTGAGGTCCATCAATAGAGAATTAATAGAGGGCCATCAGAGAATTATGTTAATCACCTACATGATTCTCTTGAGAACATTGCCAGGCCCCCCAAAATCTCCTGGAAGTGYTGCATCCCCTTCCATGACATCAAGCAGCAACATATATGGCAGCACTTTCTGCCCTGAAAGACCCCAGCAGCAATTAAAGCCTCACTAATTATAGACAAACAGCAATAAAAACCCCCTTAATTCAAACACACAAAAGCTCTCCTTGCTGTCTAAACCTACCCCACAAGGAGCCTGGCCATGAAAAAAGTTTTTTTCCAATGGCACTTTTATATGGGTCTGACCCCAAACCCCAAATAAACAGGCAGTAAAAGGATGCAGCCATCACAGCCCCGGACCCGCTCGTAAAATGCTGAGGCATCCCAAACTGTCTGGGAGAGTGGAGATGGCACAGAAAACCCGTGCCAAGATTTATCCGGGCTTTCCCCGGCTAGAAATAGCCAAAAATGACATCAGTATGTAACATATCACATCTTATCAGAACCCTCTGGCTCCAAACTGTGCATTTCGCTTTCAACCTTGAAATTTTTGCTCAGCCTGACACACTCYTTCCCCTGCACCCCAAAAACCCTTAAAAGCGCCTGAACTAACAGAAAAACACTTTAAAGAGAAAGAGACAAATCTCTGCGAGACGGAGAACCCGCAGGAGGAAGAGAAGGAGCAGGAATTACACGGATTTTTTTTTTTTTTTTTTAATCTTTCCGAGGGGAATCTGCCGCTGCAATGTGATCCCCTCCTTTGGTAACGCTTAAAAAGTCAAAGACGCCGAAGTTTGCCGCTTTCAATCCTCCTCTCACCCTCACCTCCCCCCTCCTCAAGCTGCCAAATTAGAGCGCTCAAAAAAAATCCCTCCAGCACAGGCAGCCCTGCAGCTGATGCCACAGGCATCCCCATCCGCAAAAAAAAAAACCCAAAAAAATAACTTTCCCAACTTTCCCAACTTTCCCAAAAGTTCCAATTTTTTTTTAAAAAAATCCTTTTTTTTTTTTTTTTTTTACCTTTCGCAGAGCTCCCCGGCGAGTTGAGGCGCTCTCAGAACTCTTCAGCAGTTTGAGGAGGAATGCGGACCAAGTTTTTTTGGCGCTCACCTTAAATTCGTCCGCGCCCGGAGCGTCTCTTTGTGGCTCTGGGTGGCAGAGAGGACCTGACTCCGGGGAAGGGAGAGCCACTTTCTCACCGAGAGGAAAAGAAAAGCAACACGTCATGAGTTAAGTACGCCTCCAAGATGTCTTAATTACAGCCCAACGTGCTCCCAATTCGGACCCCAGGAATGAGAGGGGAAAAAAATAAAAACCACACGCGCGGTTTATGCCCGGCGCTCACACGCCCACTCGCACCCACCCCTGGTCCCTGTCCTAGCCCCTCCTAAAAAAAAAGAAAAAAGCCTCTCACAGCTCACAAAAAGTCCTGAGCTAAAAACTACACGAGGCTAAAAAAGAAAAAAAATAAATTAAAAGGAGAGGGAAAAAAAAAAAAAAAAAAACCCGAACAAAAAAACCCCCCCACAAATTAAATTATTCTTACATATAGAGAAAATCTACCCAAAAGATACTGAA